AATTTTCAAGGTACGGGTCTGTTATAATAGGTGATAGTTATCGATGGGTAGTGTGTTACATGTTTTTTTTTTTAAGCAAAACGCAGCGGTCAAGGCGGAGGGAACGAAACGAATGAACCAACGACATGAATGCGCAGCTTGCTTCCACCCCCCCCCCCCTTTTGTCAGTTGCCTTGCTGCAGGTCATGTTCTGACTGCATGTTCGAAATATTGTGAGTGGGCGGTGATGGTGCTAGGGTGGTCCTTTGTGTTTCTCGCTTTTTCTGTACCTACTCGAGCACTCATTGTGGGTGCATGTGTGTGGATGGATGGGTCGATGTGTGAATGTGTGCCTGTGAAGCGTGTGAATTGGGGATGGATGAGAGTGGTGTGTGAGTTACAGCATTTTTTACGTCGGTTCTTTCCCCTCCCTCCCTTCCCTTCTTGCCGAGTGCATGGAATGGGGTGGAGGGTTTTGGATGGAGACTTCCGCCCGGGGTGAGGCTATCGTTATCATATCATACGTTCCCTCTTACTCGAGTACAGCGTGTATGGTTATGGGTGCCGGTACGGGTACAGTACTCGTACTCGAGTATGTGGTGGGCTTTACAAGACAGCGGCATTCCATATCTGAATCAGGGCAAGCAAGCAAAGGATGGTACCGTACAGTACGGTAGGGGAAGGAAAAAAAAAAAAAAGGTGGGTGGGAGAGCAGGAAGTGGAGGGACTGAGGGAGGAGGGCGGGGAGGGGGATTGGTCGAAGAAGAAAAAAGAAGGCTTCTAGAGCGCTTCCATTCTATTTTCAGGGCTGCGCTGGGGATGACAGGGAGATCGACAGGAGGGTCAGATCGGACCCTCGGGATTTTTTGAGAGGGTGAGAAGGGTTGGATGTGAGATGTGCGTGTGTGTGGGCGTGGATGTGGAGTGTATGTATGTAAGAAAGAGTTATTATTATTATTATTATCATCATCATTATTATTTCACGCTTCGGGCTCGGATTGGGTGCATTTTGAATTGCGTGAGGGGGAAAGGGAAGAGGAGGAGGGAAAGAGGAAGGGTTCCTGAAACGACGCAGGGTCCGGCCAAGATTTGGTTACAGAGGATGGAGAGGATGGGAGCTCTCCCTTCGGCCCCTTGGACGTTACCAGGACGAGACGAAACTTTTGTTTTCTGCCCGGCTATCTGGCTGTCTGGCTGTCTATCTGTCTATCTGTCTATCTGTCTAACTCTGCTGCCGTAGCTGGCCAGCGCAGATACGGGGCAGTGGCTTGGTCCCGCTAAGGTAAGGTATCTTGAGGTCTGACTTTCTGCCTTGTTTAGCTTGTCTGCTTGATTGCTTGTCTCTCTGTCTCTGTGCCAACTACACTTACCTTAGCCAACCATGTACATACTTGTGGAGGAAATAAGATGAAATAAAATACTAGGCCTTTTTCTTGAAAATGGAAAACCGTCTTGCAGCAAATCAGCGTTAAGTCCGATGGCCACGAAGGCTTCCCTCTTCTCGCCGTACACGGATCTGTTGGGACACATTTCTCCTTGCCCCTGTATTGTATCGTATTCTTCATCTCTACATCGCCATCTTGAAACCCCATCACCCACCAAGCCACCCACGATATCCAACACAATCCTTCGCCTTCTTTTCCATCACTCCATCGTCATCATCACCTCCTCGCACCTTATCTCACATACCATACGTCCACATCGATCCATCGGTAGCACGACTCCCCGCCCTCTCCCCGACCCCATATTCTCCTGCCCACCTCGCTAGTTGGTTTCCAATTTGTTGGTGGTTGCCCCACGTGTGGAAGCAGAGGGGACCAAGCAAAGCAAAAAAAAAAAAAAAAAAAGCCAATATAATACCGTACCGGTAGCAAAGAACAAGATCTAAAAAGAATGGCCCCTAAAGACTTAATTCTAGGTCTCCACCGAGCATTAGAGGAGCTCACCGAAAATCCTCCACCGTCGGTACCCTCGCCCGAAGGGACGCCGAAACGCGCGTCTGTAGCGTTGGTAGTACGGGTAGGATGTCTCCCTCCTGCTGATGTGTGCTTCTATGTTGGATGCTTCTCCCCCTACTACGCCTCCTTATCCCTCCCTTCACCGGGAAGAGTGAAGGGGGGGGAAGGTTTTCTCAATTGGCCAATCACTAATCGCTATCCTCCTAGGTCCAACCACACCCCTCACACCTCCCCGCTTCTATTGATAACTATCAGGTTGGCGGCCTGTCGGAATTTTTCGAGCAACCTTGGGTGAAACGTGGGGATCCCGAGTGTTTGTTCATTAAGCGGGCCGCCAGGAAAGGCGATCGCTGGACTAGCCATGTGGCGCTGCCGGGTGGAAAGCGGGATGGGGAAGATGAGGATGATCACAGGGCAGCCGTTAGAGAGTGTTTGGAGGAGGTTGGTCTCGTTCTTGATGATGGGATGATTATTGATTGTGGAAAGTTACCGGATAGGGTGTAAGCCTTTCAATTTTTTTCTTTCTCCCTTTCCCTTACCGGTACCTTTTCTTCTTCTTCCGCCGTTGAGGCTCACGGTAGAGGCTAATTGGACATGATGACTGATTTGTTCGGTCTCGGTGGTTTGTTAGGGTTACGGCCTCTTGGGGCACGGTTCCGTGAGTAGACCCTACTAATCCGTCCGGACATATGCGAACTATCTGTCACACGTAATATTTGACCGGTATCTAACGGGCGGGGGAGGGTAAATTACAGACTCATGGTTCTTTGCCCATTCGTTTTCCTCTACACTTCTCCTACCGCTCCTTCGTTTACTCTGCAGCCAACAGAGGTCGCCTCGGCTCACTGGGTGCCTATTCGAACATTGATTTCACCAGTATTCAGAACCGTCCAGACATGTGATGTCTCCGACCGTCTCTCCCGTCGGTTCTCCGGTCTGTTGGAGTCAATTGTGAGGTGGGGCTTACGGGTAAACCTCGGGCAGATGGAGTTTGCGGCGGTGAGATTGTGGCCGAGCATCAGCATTTTTTCGAGTTTTAGTGGCGACTTCCTGGACGGGACTGAGGCTGGCGGTAGGAGTTGGGACAGGCCATTGCTTTTGTGGGGGCTGACTTTGGGAGTTGTGACGGACTTTTTGGAAATGCTGCCTCGCGGAGAAAGGGCCGCTGGATGGAAGTATCCTACATTTA